CGTTTGGCTTGGAAGAAAAGGAGTTGTATTCATCACCCCGTCTAAAATTCGCCCCAGGACACAATAATGTCGAAACGACTTTGAAAATCAAAAAGTTTTACAAAAATCATATTAAAGTAATTGATACGGCAACTTATCCATGTGAAGTACTATAGTTTTTACTTCACCAATCCGTTCATTTCAAGCTATGGTAATTTACCTACCATTCTATTTTTTATTTTCCTCATGAGTTTACTTTTGAGGTGAGCCTTATTTTACAAGCTTGCTGATGTGATATATCAAAGAATTCAGTAACTAACAATCAATTCAATGATAAATTACGCGCAAATGACTGTCATACTTGAATGCTACTAGCATCAAGCCAAGGTAGCACATGAATCACGCCAATTTTAGGTCCCATTGTGTTAATTATAACTTGATAGTGTAATAATATTCAAAATTAACTAACGATCGGGAATTGAACCTAGCTAAGAGAGCCTAGGATCATGTCTTCCTCCAAGTCGTTACCGACTAGATCGAATCTTAGTTGGTACCGAAATTGCATTTCAAGGGATTCGGTGGTGGCGCAATCAAAACTACGTTATTAAATTAACAGAAGCAAAATACTATTGGAATTGCTAGTACGTCCTCTTGTTGGAAAGCTCACCTACCATCCATGGAATGACCAAACAAATTGCCGCACTTTTCTTGAAACGGCAACTTGGATAAAACAAATCAACAACAACCCCCACCAATCTTCCACCAGAATTGATTATTAAACACACAAGGGCTTCATAAAATAGTCAAACATAGGACCACATTAAGTGCATATTTCTGTATAATAGCCACTAGTGGATGTTTGATTTTTTTTTTTTATTTTTTTTATTGACGTGAGGTATCCGGGCTAGCTGATGCGCACCACGATTAAACCTCATGACCCACTAAATACCCTACAAACCCAGTAAGCATGTAAGATTTCTGTTTGATTTTGATTCACGAACATGGCTTCTGTTTTGAGCATTGAGTTTATTAATAAGCTGTATTGAGTTGGCTGAGACATTTCTCCTCAAGTTGATGCTGATTTTACCAAATATTATTCTCACCTGCAGAACAATATTATGCAGAGAGTGAGTGGATTTCACTAATATGAAAGCTAGATATATTTTTTGTGGTCTTGTGAAGAAATCTTTGAGTAAGATTTGCATTAATTTTTTCTCAATTGATATTTCAATCAAATTATCATTATTTTTTAATCAAAAAATAAATACCTATTCAAAATAGTACTGTTGAATTCCATAAAATAACAAAACATATGTATTAGTAGAGATAGATAGAACTCCCTTGAGAAACGTATGCTACCGAAGGATAGGATAGGTTGGGCATATTTGACTTGATGTTTAAGTTGTCTTTTAAGCTAATATCTCATTTATTTTTACATTTAAAAATTTTAAAAAAATTAAAAATTATATTTTTTATTTGTTAAAAAATTAAAAAATTATATTTTTTATTTGCTTCAAAATAATTATTTTATGATGTTTTCAAATCATTTTAATGTATTGATGTTAAAAATAATTTTTTTTAAATATATTATTTTGATATATTTTCAAACAAAAAATATTTTAAAAAACAATTATTACAATACCTAACATGTTCTAAGACTATTGTCGAATGATTAATAAGAAAAGGCTGGTGGAAGTTTTTTATTTATTTTCAAAGTAGAACAAGAACAAAAATAAAAAATTAACATAGTTCAAAACTTATTTAAAATACTAACATATTTTAACGGTTACATATAATATTTACAATTCACGTATCATATATGACTCCAGCCAAAAAAATTTGGGCTAAGATATTCAATATTTAATATAATTAACAATTAACAATTCATAATTAAATAGAAACATAACTCGTAAATGTATATGAAGCATTCGTAACCTTATAATTTAATTTAATTTAACTTAATTTAAATTTATAATTTTCAAAACATTAAATTATATCATTTTATTATATGTAAAAATTATCCTAACTCGTAAATGTATCGAAGCATTCGTAAACAATTCTGCATCAAAATTGTTGTCCAACTTACTGGCAAATCTAGAGTGCTTGTAAAGGAATCAACACTAAAATAACCCTAGCTCGTCTAAATCACTCAGGGATAAACCTTCCTCCCCAACTAAACATCCTCGTTTACAGGAAACAGTCTCATTATCCACTGATCTTCGAGATGCTCAATAGGGTTTTAGTTAATTGGAGTCGCATGCGACACAAGCCACTCATAAATTGCCGATAATTTCACATTATTGGATAAACTATGTTATTTTTTAAAATAAGATTTGAACTATATTATTTCTTCTATTTTTTTCTATTAGGCTTCTTTGAAAAAGAAAAAGAAAAAAAACTCAAAGCATGCGGTCTATGATAGCCTATTTCTGTGTAGTGCCGACATAAACCCTTCTAGTAGGGTTTTAAATAATTTTTTAATTATTTATCACATAACTCATCTTATCCATCAAGTCAAAAACAAAACGGTACCAGAAAATTCATCATATTTCAAAATATTTTTTTAAGTGTTTTTTATTTAAAAAATATTAAATTAATATTTTTTATTTTTTAAAAATTTATTTTTAATATTAACATATCAAAATGTTTTAAAAAGATTAAAAATTTTAATTTAAAATAAAAAAAATTAAAACTCACTTTCAAACACTAACTTTAGTTCATGCGATCCACCCACAGCGCCCAGCTCAAACATATGAATTGTTTTTAAGTACAGCTTCCTAGCTTTTACGAGTAAAATCTATCCATTAACATAAACCTTTTTTATTTTTATTTTAAAAACTCCTTTCTAATATTTTTATTAAGAACAAATACAAGTTTTTCATTAAAAAAATATAATAAAACTACAAATTATTTTTCATAAAAGAATTAAAACCATAATTTATAATAATTATTTTAATATTTTATATTTATTAATAGAATATTAATTTTATTTATTCAAATTAAAAATTATAATGAAAAAATAAAAACTCAAATCATGCGGTTATAGAACCTTTTTCTATGAAGTACAGTGGACTGTCCTATTGGCTATCAAACCTACATTATCATCTTAGTTATTTATCACGTGCCCGATTTTATTCAACAAGTCAAAAAAACACGGCACAGAAAATTCAAATTTATTTTTAATATAGCACATAAAAATAATATTAAAACATTAAAAAATTAATTTAAAATAAATAATAATTTTTATAATAAATTAAAACTTACTTACAAACACTCCCTCCAACCATGGCCCCCAGCCTAAACATGTGAATTTGTTTTTACGTACAGCTTCCCAGCTTTTACAGAGTAAAATCTATTCATTAACATAAACTTTTTTTTAAATTTCTAGTTTTTTTTTTAAAAATCCTTTCTAATATTTTTATTGAGAATAAATACGAGTTTTTCATATAAAAAATATATATTAAGACTATAACTTATTTTTCAAATAAAGAATTAAAACTATAATTTATAATAGTTATTTTAATATTTTATATTTGTGATAATCTAATTATATAATATTAATTTTATTTTATTCAAATTAAAAATTATCATGAAAAAATTTATATTGTTAATTAAAAAAATAAAATCTTCATTTTAATTGAAAAATAACGTTTATAATACTAACTAAATATGAAAATAATTTTAGTATTTTACATTGCTAAAAGGTGTTTGTATATATAAAAAAGTTTATTTCTCATATTTTTTCATCATTTTAAAAACATTAAAAAATTTGGAAAGAAAAACTAAGTAGAGTCTATAAAATATATTTTATTAACTCGGTCCAAATTTAAAAACTTGAAAAGGTAGTTATGTAGTCTTTTCATAAGAAGAAATATTTCATTTGAACAAAAATAATCTTGATTTTGATTTTCCTGACTTCATCTTATAAAAAATTAAAGAATTACTTTGTTTATGAAAAATCCTTAAATATTTGTACAAATTGTGAGAGCAAAAAAAAAAAACTTCTAAAGAAAGAATCTTGTTTCTTTTTTTTTTTTTTTTAAAAAAAATCTTGTTTCTTTATTATAGTTGGTGAAGGTTCTTTTATTGGTTTGCAAGTCATGATTTTTCCTAGGCTGCTTGCTCGATTGCAGACTAATACTTTCTCCTGAAGTCATTCTCGAAATAATAATAATAATAATAATAATTTCGAGAAAAGAATGGGTTGCTTATCGAAGAATGGCTGGCTTAAAATAAACTATCTCCCCATTGGTTACTGTAACCAATCAAGAAAATTTTTAACTTGTTTATCAATCCCACAAGATGACAGTTCTATGTAATTAATTAATTAATTAGCTGTAAAATGAATGATAGTCTTGATTGATGGTTATGTCCGCCTTCCCACTATCCAAGTGTTCTGTCCTCTTTAACCCGTTAGAGGGACAGAGGAATAAGCTGAACATGTCTTTTAGCAATGCTCAAACATTCCAAGCCAATTACTGGGATTTACAAGAGAGGCAATCCACTTTCTATCCTAGTTCAATCGAAGCTAATTTGAGTACGAGAATCTTAAAATTAATGAACTACCGACGGTAATCGAAGAATCCTTGAGTACCTTCGAGTAGAAGGCGGATAGCCACCTCCCTCCTGTGGAATCAACGAAGTTCTAAATTCAATACTATTTATCATTTAACAAGTTAATTTGATCACTGTGAGAGAAATCTATGATTATCCATGCCCTTTGATTTTCTAGCCATCCCATTCAAATTGTAATGTCAATGTTGTTGCCTTGCTGGGCCATGGTGGTAATGGAAGTGAGTGTCCAGCAGAAAACTCTTCGGAATTTCTTCTTTCTTATTTTGATAAAAATGATGTGTAGTAGGTAGCAAAGTACTGTATAGACAAATCCATTTCATAGAATTAAAAATAAAATAAAATTCAACTGACCGTATATTAACAAAATCCGATTAGCCCTCGTTTTTCAACTGACCAGCTTCCTCGAAAGATCCAAAATGTTGCCCTATATAAGGAGATGAAGCATGGAGCTAAGTACTCACGACTAGCTCAATCATCCAAATCTTTTTCTTTGCTCTTGTTGCTTCATTTCCCTCAAGATTGTCGCTAGCAAAAACAAACAAAAATGAGAGCAAGCTGTATTCTTCTTTGTTTCTTTATGTTTCTTGCTGTATCTTCAGCCTACCCAGGCAAGAAGAAGCAGTACAAACCATGCAAGGAGTTAGTCCTCTACTTCCATGACATTCTTTACAATGGCCAGAATGCTGCCAATGCAACATCGGCAATTGTGGCAGCACCGGAAGGGGCTAACTTAACCATCTTAGCAGGGCAGTTCCATTTTGGCAACATTATAGTTTTTGATGATCCCATTACCCTTGACAACAATCTTCATTCACCACCAGTTGGTAGGGCGCAAGGCATGTATATCTATGATACCAAAAACACCTTCACTTCTTGGCTGAGCTTTACATTTGTTCTTAACAGCACAGAACACCAAGGGACCATAAGTTTCATTGGAGCCGACCCAATTTTGGTGAAGAGTAGAGATATATCTATAGTTGGAGGCACCGGGGATTTTTTTATGCACAGGGGAATTGCAACTATAGCCACTGATGCATTTGAAGGTGATGTGTATTTCAGACTCCACGTTGATATCAAATTCTATGAATGTTGGTAAAGAGCAACACATGTATGCTTAATTGAAGATGGAGTTAATTATTGAGTGGAAACTTGGGGTATGCTTTTGTTGCAGTCCCTTTTCATCGAATAAAACGTCATATATTTAATTGTTATCCTTTCGTTTTTTCAATTAATTTCATCTTCACTGCTTCATAGCGATAAAGTTTCGAAGCCAGCTGAGGCACTCAATGGCTCTTCATGTTGAAAGAGGAAAACAAAAACCATTTAAGCTCAAAAAAGAAGAATAGTTGGAACTTAAATTTCATACCCTCGTTTTGTTTAATTAAGAGGCTTTAATTTTATCGAGGGAAACAATTACAGAGTAATATAAAAACCATTAATGAATTAATTTAAGCTACATTGGGGCACTTAACTTTTTCAAGGTATGAGATTATAAAGTCAGAGAAGTAACTTTTCAGCTTTAAAAGCCGTCAAGTTCTCATCATCGTTTGGTAGCCAAAAATGAGTGGGAGTCCTGCAGAAACCCTCCTTAATTTGTTCAATTGTCAAAGCCACCGGTAGGATAGCTATAGTCAATCACTAAACTAAATACATATTTTTACTTGTTATTTCAACTTGGTATTTGAGTTTGGATTTAAATTCTTTTGATGGGTCATGTCTTAAAGAAAAATCTTTCACAGAAAATTATATTTTTTATTGGTTATAATGCATGTAAATATTATAGGGAGCTCATATTTAAAAATAATAAATTTATGAAAAAAAATAATCATCTAATTTTATTGTAACAGAAAAACTAATTAGTTTTTAGAGTTTTTAGGTAAGGAATTGATTATGTAATATAAAAGATAAATATCACTATATACATCTTATCTAAAATAAGCTATATTATATGTTTTCAATAGTAAATATGTATTCATATAGTCTATCTAAACCGTGCCATATGTTTTTTAGAATATTGTCTATATTCATAAAACAACGTTTAAAGGACAATACTTAATGTTAGACTTTACCATCCTAGATAATTTGATGAACAACATTAAATGATCATATTATTTGTTAACTAACATTTGAAAGACAGGCCTATGATGAGACTATTTCATCTCAGGTCATTAACATATAATCTAATCATTTAATATAAGATTTGGACATATATGGTCGTGGTCAAACAACTAAACAATATTAAAAAATCAGATCTAATTTTAAACCATTTCATCATATGTTATTTAGAAAATAATGAGTACATCTATTTAGTTTTGTGATTTATAAAATGATATGTAATTATGAAAGATAGGGTATAATGATAGACCATACCATCTTGAGTCAATTACCAATTAATAAAGCCAATTAATACAAATACTATTTTTATTTTATTATTTTTATTTATTTAATTTTTTTATTAATTAACATCCGAAGAACAGGGCTTGGTATTTGATCATTTCATTTTGGGTTGTTTAACAATTATTATGAAAAATTAAAACAAAGACCATTTTTTATTTTATTATTTATAAAACGAGCATTGTACTTATATGGATGAAAAACAAGTTTTGACTCACATTATAAGCGAGGAGAAAATTTGAGAAGACTGGGAGAGAGGTTGATGTTGGTAATGGTCTAGGGAAGAAAGTTGCACTCGTTCGATTGTGGAGAAGAAGAAAATGAAATGGCCAGCGAGAAAGGAGAGTGAGGGAGGCCTGTCTTCTGGGATTCCAAGCCAAGAAAAAAAAATGAAGATAAGGGAGCCCTTCCTCCGTGAAGACTTGGAGGCAAGGGAAGAAAAGAAAAAAAAAAGTGTTGAGGGAGTTCTACAGCTAGTATAGGTTTTGCTGTCCATTTTTTTTGTTTTTTTTAGTAATATGTTTTTTTTTTTAATAATATCTTGCCTCTTCTTGTACATGCACTGAAATTTATATTTATAGTACAAGAGTTTCATTGTAAATGAAAAACAAAATCTCAGACAAATTCATTTTTTTTTAATTTTAAATTTGATTAAAAATTAAATTTAAAAATGAATAATTCACATTATCTTTATGATAAGGATAGAATAAACAAGGTAAATTGAAGTCCTTAATTTTCACGCAAGTTAACAAATCATATTTTTTATTAAAATAAATTTCTAATATTTTAGTTTTCTATCTTAACCCTGCAAAATTAAATTAAAAGCCAACAAGCCTAAAATTGAATTATAACACCAATAAAAAAATAAGGATTGCATAGGAATGGGTGCAACTTCACTCATACTAAGAAAATGTTGGTACATTTCTTCTAAGGATATAAGGACTCGAGAGCATTGGTCATGGTTCTTCTAGAAGTCATTTAAAATGAGAGGGTTTCTTTCGGTTTGAGTATTTTACTGATTGTTTTATATGTGATTGTTTTATATGTTGGCTTGATTTTTAGGAAAAGAGGTAAAAAAATTTACTTTAGATATGGGCATGGTGGGTGTTTAGTAAGAATTTTGATAATCTTTTATCTTCTTATAACCTCTCTTTTCAATGTTATTCACTTTTATTTCTTTATTCATTCCGATGAATCCTTTTTTTCATTTAGATCAATATCCGTAAAGTGTTAAATAGGGGCACTCACTAAATGGTCAAAATAGGTTGTTTTGAATATATTGAAAAATAAATTAATCATTTTTTTCTAATAGCGGTAGGTTGACTTGTGTAACCTTTTCTCGCCACCTCTAGGTGTATTCTTGAATATATTATTTGTTTCTCTTCTCCATTTCTAACATATTAGTCTTATTTGAAGTGACATTCATATTAAACTTGTATTGTTTTACAAATACATCAACTATATCTTTTCATCCTTTAATCTTGGTACTGTCAAGCATCATATACCAAGTCAAGGCGGCTCACTAAGGTTGTCTTGAAAAAAAAACAGATGAGCAGATGTTAGTAGATGGTATTCGAACGGTTCCTTTTCTATCCATGTCCGCATTTCATATAGAGGTTATTATGTCAGCAAGAGTGTCCCTACCCATGATAAGCTAAAATTTTTGTTGCCTTGTAATTTTGATATAATCAATATACTTTGTTTTCATTTTGTTTATAAATTAATTATTAATTTTTTATTAATTTTTATTAAATACTCATTTTTATTAAAGGTATATGCGTGAAACACAATCTACTAATTAATCTTAATTTAATTGATTTTGTTCAAATATCAAATATTACTTCTACCATCTTATTATAGCATGTTTTTAAATGAGACAATGAGAATTGAGTTTCCATATTTAACAAGCTCGAACACTCAAAATTTCTTCAATACTACAATGTTGGAGACTAGGCATATTTTTTCAAGTTCTACTAGGTTGTAAAAATTAGGCCTTATACATCACTACTCATAAAAGACATTGTTTATATTAATTATATTTCTAATAAAAGATTGATTGTGTCCAAGTGCTCTTGGTACTTCGCAATGTCACTTTCGACCTAAGAAGCATGTTGTTGCAACCTCTAAGTCCGATAAACCACTTGTTTAATTTGTCTTATCATGAAATAATGTATTATCAATAAGCAGGGCGTCGTTATTGGAAGTCCTTGTCGCTTCTTTCAAGCACCCAGACTATATTTTCTAATTGTATTACTTTAGTCATTGGCATATGTAGCTCTTTCCTTTTAATGTCAAGCTCATCATCTCTTTTCTATGTATTGGTATCAAATTTTTTTTTTCCTCTATGTCAATCTTGGCTAACCGATTCTTTTCTTTTTTAGCATCTAGCTTCCTTCTAAGATCATTTCTTTCCTTCTTCAAAAAGGCTACCATTTCCTTATCAATACTTATCTTGCCTCTAGCCTTATCAGTACTTATCTTGCCTTTTGCTAGCTTTTTTACCATGACCAACTCTTTTTATATAAGCACATATTTGTTGTTGACCAACACATCGTGCTTGGCTATTCAATTTCCTAGTTCATCTTGGACACATTTGGCTATTTATTAAGCAATTTCGGTTCTTTCTACCATTTATTTACCATCTCAAGATCTTTTATCAAGGCTGCTAATTGTTCATCCTTCCTTTAGTTGCTGGTTCACGTAATTTCTTATTTTGTCCTCCTTTTCCATTTGCTTTTTCAAAAGTTGTTGCTATCATTTTATGTTGTAGAGGTCAATTCTAGATTTTTTTCAAATACTCTCTAAGTCTTCTTGGTTATTGACCTTTTTTTCTCTTTGACCCCTCCTTAATTTAAGTCCTTGAATGTATGAGTCTTTGCATCTTGGTTCTTGGATTTAAATTTCTTCAATTAAATCCTTAATTATTAACTACACTTTTTTTAACGCAATTAAACCCCTAAATTGACCAATTAGTCCTTCAATTTCTAATTTGTTCTATTAAGTCCCTCTTCATTCTATTTTTGCCACCTTCAGATTTCTTGTCCATTTATGACCCTGAATTATTTTTGAAATTTAATGAATTAATTGTTTTTACTTATATATCAATACAGGAAAAAATATTTTTAGATGAAAAAATTTTGGGGATCTAAAATTGGGTTATGACATAAATTATCTTTAAATAAAATAAGTACAATATTATTTTAAAAATCATTTGATTATGGCATATTTTTCAAATAAGATTGGAGCTTTTTGTGCTAATATTAGCAATTCCATCATGAATAATTATATTTGAATTAAATTAGCAAAAAAAAATATCATGAATATTCAATAAGAATAAAATATTTATTTTATTATAAATTTCTTAAATTAATTATTTTTTTTTTCATATAATCACATAAAAATTATTATTATGTAATTTTTTTAATTAAAACTTGCTTCTCATATCATAATAAGTTTTTATATAAAAAATCATGCTTCTGTTAAAAAAATACATATGTTCATTAAAACACAAAATAATTTCATCAATAAAGAAATAGAGTTATGACTAAGAAATATTTTTTTACTCTTGAATTTAAATAATTTGAATTTTTGGGATACTGATTTTAATTCGCTTAAGTTTTTGTTTAAAAAACTATCTTGTTGATACAAAAACATGTTTTTATCAAATAAAAAATAAATACATAATTAAGAATAAAGAATCTTAACTAATTTTTTTTCCATAATTACTTTTACATATATTTATTTTAATTCCTATAAAATTAAATAAAAATATGTTTCGAAAAATGATTCACAGATATATACTAGCTAGTAGAAGTTC